TGGGTGTGGGTGTGGGTGTGGGTATGGGTGGGTGTGGGGTGTGGGTGTGGGTGGGTGTGGGTGTGGATTTGGGTGGGTGTGGGTGTGGGTGTGGGTGTGGGTGGGTGTGGGTGCAAGTGTGGGGTGTGGGTGTGGGTGGGTGTGGGTGTGGGTGAGTGTGGGTGTGGATATGGGTGCGGGTGTGGGTGTTGAATCCCTTCTCCGACCACACCCACACCCCACCCACACCCACATCCACACCCACACACCCACACCCCACCCACACCCACACCCACGCCACCTGCATCTATCGGAGTATATTTTTGTATGATTGTACTTCTTTCATCTGTACGTATGAAAGGTCTCTTAAAGAAGTTCTTTAATAAAGTGAGGCAATGGTGGAATGACTTTTTTAGCTGTTCTATGAATTTCTTGAAGTTATTGCTAACTAGAAGAATAATTGATCTGAACTCACTAAGTTTATACCTCTTAATATTCCAATGAGGATAGTAAAGTAAAAATGTCGAAAAGACAGCGTCATTTTTCTTTAGATCAACTTAACATCATGCAAATACATCTATTAAATACATGATATTTCTTTTAGGGTGTAGGGTGTAGTTGCGATTATCGTTGAAAAGAAAGCTCACATCCATATCCAAAGATCAACTAAAAATGTAATACACTATTGATTCGATTCAAAATTTGTATTCTTCAATACGCTTGCATAGAAATGTGATGTAATCATATTGAGAAAACGTCTAAACAATTTATCAATCAATCAAGGTGAAAATAATGTTAAACTAAACTGTCATCTGAAATAAAACCTACTTGAAAATGAGAACAAGATATAAGAGGAATAATTGCAAAGATATATAAATTAATCATAGTAACATGTTTATTAAATAGATTAAAATATTGAATAAATGTGCTTGAATTGTTGATACACTTATTTTAGTCTCACCATCACATTAGAGTTCTGCAAGATAAGCTTTTTTCTTACCCTGCACATCTTTACATCATGATATGTTTTCGATAAAAATGACCATCAAATTGAAGTCATTTTTTGCGATTAGTCAAGGAAAAAACACATCATATTCGTACAACAAAATATTCAGACAAGTTTATTTTATTCAGTATCATATGAAAATAAAAAAATATTCTTTTTTTTTAAAGTCAAGAGTCGATCTATTTTTTAATACGAGTTTCATACATTTTAAAGTGCATATTGTGTGGACAATAAAACAGATATGTTATTTAGTAAAAGCATTCAATGTTAGAAATTCTTTTGTACAGTATATTCTTTATGACGATAAAATTTATGGGCTCAATAAAATTAGAGTTTTTGAAGAAAATGAATGAATTACTTTAGCGACTTACGCTGAATCGTGCGACGCACATCACACTGCTGGGCTCGATTGTGGTACACACACGAATTGTGACACATCAATATAGTGGTTTAAAATCTAACGAATCAGTATATAAACAGAGAAAATCGTTATTTTCTCAGTTATTTCTTGTAAAATTGTCCTATATAGTAGGTGACGGCTATTTTTTATTTTCGAATATTTTCTTTTCTTATCACTCAATGATTTTGTTGATAACTAATTAAACTACTTTTCTTTTGAAAGTTTTTTCCTGTTCGTTTTTGTTAGATAGTTTTTATTTCAAGCCATCTCTAACTTTTTTTAATAGAGCAAGTTTATGTTATAAAATTAAAGCATCTATCTCTGATTTTCTCTTTATTCTTGTATTGCAGAAATGTAATATTTGTTTTTTTGTTGTGAACAAAAACACTTTCAATCCAATGACAATCATCTTTTTCTTTTCACAATAAAACTATTACTTTATTATTTCTGCTATAGTTTTTGTTTCTAATCTTTCCATTTTATACATATATTTATTCTTCCTTTTAAGCTCGATTGTTTTGCATTGAGATTTATAGTTAATGTTTATGTCAATAACTTTTATTCTTTTTCTGATGTAAAGTTTTTGTTTTTTCCTATGAGAACATCTGTTACACCCACACCCTCAATTATAAATCTATTATAGCATCAGAATGATGTGTAATTCTTCTTTTTATTTCTATATAACATAGTCAATTTCCAAAATAATATTAACTTTCTTTCGGCGGTCCCTCTTTAGCCATATGTTGAAGTTGCTCAAGCCAATGTTGATGTTGAGCGTACATTCGATTAGGATAAAATAATTTTCCTAATCGCGCAACTAATCCATGTTGACATTCTTCTGTAATAACTAAACAGTTATGTTCATCTCGTGGTATAATTAACCATGCATGATAAACATATAAACCTAATAAACCTCGAGCATCCCAACTAATGCGTTCACCTTCAACATATTCTCTTACTTGTGATGTCAAATTTACACCGAATGTGCGCCATGTAAAACGAGTATTTTCACGAAGTATTGATGATGAAGTATCGGTGAGAAAGGCAACATTCTGAGAGTTATTATAATAAGTTGGCCAGAGTTGTGCATGTACAAGCCATGACCATACATATGATGCTGGTGCTGCAATTTCTAGTTCGTTTCTAACATGTACTGCACATCGATCTGGTTCAAATTCTGCTGGCCAACGTATCATTCTTTTAACCGTATTTAATATAAAAAATAGGAGAGAGCAACACGTGTATCTTTCTATCAACTCAACAAAGAATAAAAATAAATGCAAATATTCTTATCGCATTTGACGAACTTTATACAATGAGAGTTATCAAAAACAGTTTAGGTAAATAGATATACTACATGCTCTTCTTTTATTTTATATATTTTATTGCATTTAAACTATATGATAGTGTGAAAAATATCAACTTCAATATTTTCTATGACGATACATATATATTTATGTTTGGACGAATACTCATTCTAAAGCAATTGATTATCTCAAATCAAACGAAAAACAAATGTGTATTTATATTTGCATAAAAATGAAAACATATAGAAGAAAAAAGGTGCGGGGTGTGAAGTGTGGCTGTAGATATTGATGTCAGTGGGTATTGGTAAGTGTGCGCGTGGGTAGAGATGAGGTTGAAGTGTATCCAACTTCGCACTCATACTGACACCCATACCCACATCCTCAAGATAATTCGATTGTTGAGGATAGAGCCCTGCAGGGTGCCCATAACCTGTCCTGCCCTGCCAGGACAGGACAGGACAGGTTGCAAAAGTAGCAGAGCAGGGCAGGGTCAGGTTACGAAATTTTTACAGGGCAGGTTACAGGGCAGCACTGTCATAACCTGGTAACCTGCTATTAATTTATCGAATCAAACATTATAGACATCTTTTGAAAAATTTTATACGAAGAAGAATATCGAAGCATAAAACAACATAAAGTAGGAGAATTAATATACGAAATCGATGAAAAGTTATGAATTTTTTTGTAATATCAATTATAGCAGGGCAGGGCAGGGCAGGTTACAGGTTATGAAAAAAAGTCTCAGGGCAGGACAGGGCAGTGTACGCGAAAAAATTCACAGGGCAGGACAGGATTAGGTTGCAGAATTTTTACAGGGCAGGTTACAGGTTACGAAAATACTGCACCCTGCAGCCCTCTAGTTGAGGACTGATGTAAATAAAACAAATGAATTTAATCTTTGGCAAAGTACTGAACTATCATAGTACTTCAGATATATCTCATGGATAAAAGATTTGAAGAAAAGGAAAATAAACGAAAAATTTGTAAATTTAGATTATCGGGTCGAACCATTTTTTTAGATTAAAGAAACTTGGCATGGTATACTTTTCAATGTCATTCATACACGCTATGATTCATGCAAGCTGTGTGGATCTCTGCCGACTTCTGATATGTATCGAAAATATTTTTCTCCAAGATTCTCAAAAATTTGAGAATTAGAAAATTCTCAAGGTAGAACGTATGTGTTCCATCAGAACTCAAAGGATTAAACGAAATCGAGATTCATTAAAAAAATGCTCGATATTAAGATTTATAACACTTCAACATGGTTTCTTACGAGATTACAATAAAAATTAGT